AAAAGTTCTTCACTATTGATTGATCAGTGATTTTTCAACTCTAAAAAATTAGATTTATACAAATAATGAGATCGACTCTATCATTGTGCCAATATTCATTGCTATTAGTAGAAATATGATTAAACTTTTGTAAAAGGATATCGTTGAATTTCGTCAAATTCTCATCGTCTAGATAATTATGCATTGATAAAATATAAGAGCTTCTAGAAACTTCGTAATTCATATAATTTTAGGAAGTAAAAAACGATTTAAAAGACAGATGCTTATCATTGCTGAAGTTTCCAAAGTTCATTTCTTTAAAATAATTGTGAATACTGTTGGGTCAGTATGTGCATGTAACTCTCGTAGCTGCTCAAAATAGCGGTTACAATAGATACAATCATATGTATAGCTTAGGTCGTGTCATAGTTCGAAAGGGTGACGGTAGTCGATTCTTTCAGTCCGGTACCAACCTAATCGGTTCACACTGGTCCCATTTTTACAGTGCTCTTCTACAATTGTTTTAGTATTAAAGAATGGAATCTCGTCTAATTCCATCACTCAGAAAAAAAATTCGTTTAATCGATCGTATCAAAAATGCTCTCAATGAAATCGTTGCTGTTACTAATGAAACATTATACCAATATGTAACAATATACTAAAGCAGCTTACTAGACTTCACTATAGAAGTGAATTTCATTCTTAGGGTAGATCTATTATCTTTAGCTTGGAATCTGTGAGTAGACTTAACTATTGCTGGTATTCGATTAATTGTCTATCCGATTAACCTTTACTGGCTGAAACAGTATACCGATTAGGTCCAGTATGGTTCAAAGATAATTGAACTGGTTCCATCTACGAACCGATTCGTGAACTAAAATGAATGATTCTTGTTTTGTTTACGTATTTCTAAAATAAAAATATATTTTGTTAGAAACAAAGGATTGTAAACCATAGAAAATAATTTTTATCATACAGCTATAATAAATCTTGAGTTAAAGCAAATAATTAGAAACATTTGTGGCAGCAAAATACCTAAGTCATAGTTCATTTACCCTTGAGATATCTTTGATGTTTTTTATAATGAGTTTCCATTTTTAACGACAGGTATTTGAAGAGCCGTTGTGTATTTACATGCAATAAGATAAACTTTTTATGTGTAACTGCTTTTCATGTTATCTATTGTGACAATCGACTTGGTAAAAGACGTTCACATCATTAAGATGAAATCGGTCATGATTAAGTGTTCTAACGAAGATCACCGTTTATTCTTTTCTTCTTTAGAAAACAATTCTTCAGAAAAGATTTGCATTCTAATGTTCGCGTTTTGTATTCAATTTATTCTATAGTAGATGTGTTGTAACTTTAATCCTTTATGTTTTATATACCAGATTCAATCAAATTATGCGTTTGTTTTTATTGTTATTCGCAGATTCTTCATAAATCGTGAACTATTAAGAATTCAGTGATTTAATAGCTACCACTCTCAAAAATCTGTATCAATGTTTTGACAGAAAAACGGCAACCTGCTGAATCTCTGATCGGGATAAGAAAAATTGATGTGAAAGAAGTTCTTTTTGAATAATTCGCGCATATTTTCGAGAAAAATGTGTGTAGAAATTTGTGAAGGAAGTTTGGCGATTCTCTCTTTCCCATGAAAGCCATTCATTAGTCTCGATTGTCGAGTAATTAGATATTAAGCTGTTCACAAATTTTATTAATTACCCCACATGTCGAGAGGATAGAAACCAGAAACAGAAATTTATCTATGTTTTGCCGCTGTCTGCAATACGTGATACAAATGACGGGGAGATGATTATGAAAGTCAAATGATTAGTAATTCATAGAGTTTTTTCGGTCATAAAGAAAAGATGTAGGAAGAAAGGGAAGGATTATAAGTAAATGCTGATATGTTCGACCCAAATGACGATAAATATGACCGAAGTGGCCAACTTACGTTTAGTTTTTGTATTGTTGTGCTCACAGCTAACAGCTTCTCAGCACACCTGTATTAAGAAATGTTAGACAGATCCTGATGAATTTGTCTTTCTTTGCCATTCTCTCAATCAAGGATTGAGCGATTCAATCACCTATGACCGTCACTCATTCTAATAAATCAACAAAATCTTGGTAAATACGATACTAAAAGGCAGCACTCATTTCTATAATGATTGCCAGTTATTATGTATTATTATTTTTCTTCAACATTGCAATTTACGTACTCGTTGATAGATAAGAATATAGATATATAGTTAGGTTTTTTGCAAGAGTATCATCATTATTTCATCCCCAAAAAGATCTGCATTCGCACACCGTACAACAGCAGGATAGTGATGTAATGCAGTTGTTTAATGACTATTAAACTTACTTGGAATACCCTGTCCAACTCTTTAATGCGAATATATGGACCAATTTCCATTGAAACTATATTTGATAATAATGGCAAAGACAGCTAAATTTCATCGCATTATAGTTCTGCTCTTAACATCTGACGACATTTTTCAGTAAATGAAGCTTCAATACAGAAAATCGCGATGAAAATATTCGAAACATTAATTTTAGTCGTGGTTTGCAATGTTTCAATCAAATATTAGTTGAATGGCGAAAATCTTTCATAGGCTGTCAAATATATAAAACAAAGCGTTGCTACCATTCAGAAATTATTTGAATCACAAAACCTTTTTTATTGCACATTTATGACACATCTTTTGGAAAGTTCCAAAACTATTCCTCTTAATAGTTGATTGTAGAAGCCTTCGATTTTGATACATTCGCTTTTGTTCTTTTCTATGAGATACATTTGTCCTAACAAATTCTACTTTTCTAGATTGAATTGGTTCCAGTAGATGATCAAACGGTATATGTTAATGATTCGCTTGTCATAAATTCGAGAGATCGCATTGATTCTGGGACCGAAACCGTAATTTCACGTGTACAAAATACAACTACGGTTACAAATAATGCCACGACTCGAAGAAGTTTCACATTAACAGAAAATACGTATGATTCTTTCTTCTTATGTCAAATATAATCTTTGTAATTCTTTCATAGGAGAATTTGCCACTGGTTTATACTGAATTTAATTACAAAACCCATCGTTTTACTGCTTTTGATCACAGCTATATCAGTGAATGTTGGTATAATAGTTGTTTGTATGACTGCTGCGAAAGCATCAGGTATGTTTTTGTTAGCTTGCATTTTTTTCTAAACAGACTGATAAAAATATTTCATCAAATCGGTTTATGCCAATACCTACTTTTCGAGTTTTTATTTAAAATCATTGATTGATCTTAGCTCTTGATATCAATATACTCTGATCAAATAGTCCATTGAGAAGAAAACTGAACACATAAGAGTTTGAACTCTTGTTGGCTAGTAATCAGTATTGAAAAGTTAATCAACAAAGGTTTTTCGATTAATTATGATGCTATCCTTCCGGTTGCTATTGGAAAAGTAGGAAACGATAGTACCGATCTTTGAAGCTTACTCTTTTCCAAATATTTAAAATAAAAAGTGTCAATCTTCTTCTTCCTTATTCGGTGTGCGCGCTAGTATAGGTATGTCCACATAAGATAAAATACATCTGCACACTCACATTATCAAGAGGAAAAAATTCGTACTTAATTTATTACGAGAAAAATTTTACTGCAATATTAGTCTTCAATTTGAGTTGAAAAGTGATCGACATGTGGCATTAAATCAAAGGAGGCATGTCAAACAGTTTCTCGATTTTAGTCATTGTATTTGGAGGTACATCTACTTAGTTAATATTAATTAAGTAATAACATGTTCAACTGTTTTTTATCCCATAAATGTCATATTTATTCAACTATTTTACCGCTTTCGCTAGAAAATTACATACTTATTTTAACATGGAGCAATGGCGAAAGAATTTCACTCTCCTCATCATCATTGAACAAAGAAACAATAATTCAAAAATTAGTTGTTTAAACAAGAACACATACATTTTTGAAATTCTCACTTGAGCTAGTGCCAAAACCTACAAGATAAAAAACACGAAGGACAAGAAAGAAGACTGCAGAAATTACTAAAGATATCATTAGAATGATCACATGCTCACATTTCATTGATATGAATAGATGATAGGCAAGGATAGACAGCATTGCTAATAGAAAGAAATCATCGATCTTCCAGTTTGTCAAGTAACATTCATTAATAAGCATTGACTTAACTATCTGTGATGTGTTCTTGGATATGGGAAAAAGCTTATCGTACCCTAACTGTTAGTTTCGATGATCCATGTTAAAGAGTCACAACAAAACTATGATAGCATTCATCAAACATTAAAACTATTTTCGATTTCCTTCCCATTATACAATATTTACGATCGAGAACACGCTGTACAGACAGATTCAAGATGAGACTTGTCGTGATTTTGATCATATATCTAAGCTGAATTCATAGTTTTCACCCCAATCGTGCTACTGATGGTTTCTTTTCTTTTTCCACTACAAGGAATTGCTAGAACAAATAGTTCCATGAACAAAGAAATAAAATAGGTGCAAATCTGAATATAAAAATCTATTAACACCAAAAAAACTATAGAGATAGTAATTTGATCTATTCGACTCTTTTCTTGTAATCCCTTGATATTTTCTGGTAGAATCCCATGTTTATTCTGGGCGTTTCTTATTGTTCAATTGCAATAGTTGCATCAGAACTATTTTTCAATTTTTATCTGTTATTTTTACTTAGTTTCTAAATGCCGGCTTAATTTCAAACCAACAACACCTAACCCAATCGACTATAGGTTTGATCCCAAATCTGTAGCTGTGGGGAATGTCAATAATGATAGTTGGCCCGATATTCTTGTAGTCGACTATACTTTTGATAAAGTATATATATTTTTTGGATGCGGTAATGGTAGTGTGGCAACTCCAGTGGAGTATTCTACCGGCCTTGGATCTGCTCCACGTATGGTTGCTGTGGGTGATTTCAATAATGACCGTCGATTGGATTTTGCCGTTGCAAACTTCGACACAAATAGCATTAGTATATTCATGCAACTCAATAATGAATCTTTTGCAACCAAAACAGCTATATCAACGGGAACATCCCGTCCGATTTTCATTCATATAGTGGATGTTAATAGTGATGAATTACTCGACATTATTACTGCTAACCATGGTACACATTCTATAAGTGTATTTTATAGTTATGGGAATGGGAGTTTTTCTTCACCAATGACATATCCGACGGGATATGATTCTTTTCCTTGTGCCATTTTCACTGGCGACTTCAATAATGACAACAATGTGGACCTTGCTATTGTCAACCATGGCATAAATAACATTATGATACTTCTGGCAAACAAATACAGTATTTTCGAAAATCAATCAACAATCTTTACTGGCCCTCATTCTCATCCGTGCTCAATTGTTGCTGGTTATTTCAATAATGATAATATACTCGATATTGCTGTCGCCAATAATGGAAATAATAGAATAAATATTTTTCTGGGTAATGGAGACGGAACATTTTCAGGGTACGCGACGTACACACTTGGCGATCAATCTCCATATTCTATTGCCATGGGCGACTTTAACATGGACAATCAAATAGATTTAGTGGTCACGAATATGGGTATGAATAATATCGGTGTTCTTTTGGGATATGGGAATGGCTTCTTCACAAATCCAATATTTAGAAAAACAGGATCTACTTCTACGACCTACCTTGTCACATGTGACTTGAATACAGATGGTCGATCTGATATTGTTGTCATTAACGATGACACCCGAAGTATTGGCATTCTTCTTGGTTGTAATCCCGGTATTTCTGAAGATCAAATGATATATTCAACGGGTTCGTGGCCATTTTCAGTAGCTGTAGGTGATTTTAACAATGATTATCGATTGGATATAGTTGTTACTAATGCTGTTAATGACACTGTAAGTGTATTTTATGGATATGGGAATGGTTCCTTTGAAGATCAAAAAACATATTCAACTAGTTCTTTACCATTATCTGTAGCTGTTGGTGATTTTAACAACGATAACCGATCGGATATTGTTGTTACTAATTCAAACAGCAACACTGTAAGTGTAATACTCGGATATGGTAATGATTCTTTTGAAGTTCAAAAGACATTCTCTATCGGCCTTTTCCCACGAGCTGTAGCTGTTGGTGATTTTAACAGTGACAACCGATTGGATATCGTTGTTGTTAACCAAAACAGCGACACTATAAGCATTTGTCTCGGATATGGCAATGGTTCTTTTGAAGATGAAAAGACATTCTCAATTGGCGTTTCTTCACGAACTGTAGCTGTTGGTGATTTTAATAGCGACAACCGATTGGATATCGTTGTTGTTAATTCAGAGAGCAACACTATAGGCATTTTTCTCGGATATGGCAATGGTTCTTTTGAAGATCAAAAGACGTATTTAACTGGTTTGGTGCCATCCTCTGTAGCAGTTGGTGATTTTGATAAGGATAATCGATTAGATATTGTTGTTGCTCATGAAGGTAGTAACACCGTAATTGTGTTTCTTGGATATGGAAATGATTCTTTTGAAGATCAGAAGACATATTCAACTGGTTCGATACCATCTTCTTTAGCTGTTGGTGATTTTAACAACGATAAACGATTAGATTTCGTTGTTACTAATCAAGGTAGCGACACCGTGACTGTATTTCTTGGATATGGAAATGGCTTTTTTGAAAATCAAAAGCCATATTTAACTGGTTCTCATCCGTTTTCCGTAGCTGTTGGTGATTTTAACAACGATAACAGATCAGATATCGTCGTTGCAAACTTGTACAGCAACACTGTAAGTGTTTTCCTTCATTATGATAGCGTACCTTTGACGACTGAAAACGCATTTGCAGTTGACGATGCTTCGCTTTTGAAAGCCGTTGCTGTCGTTGATTTCAATAACGACGACGTTTTAGACTTAGTAGTAGCTAATTATGGTACCAATAATATTGGTGCTAGTTTTGGATACGCAAATGGCACGTTCGGAAAACAATTAAAGTTCCTGACGGGTTCTAACTCTCATCCGCACTCGATTGCTGCTGCTGATTTTGATGGAGATGGCCAAATAGATATTGCCGTGGCGAATCGCGGTACCAAAAATGTTGGATTATTTATCGGAAATGGAAAAGGAGCGTTTGAGATACAATATGCTGATAATATTTTCAATATTACTCCATTATTTATTGCCTCTACTGATTTAAATAATGACGGAAGATCGGATATCTGTATCGTTTATGAAGAGACTGATAACGTAGATGTACTTGTGTTACGTGATACTGGATATTTTGAGGATCAAAAGACATATTTAACTGATTCTTTTCCACAATCTGTAGCTGTTGCTGATTTTAACAATGATAACTGGTTGGATATCGTTGTTGTTTATTCCGCTAGTGACACTATCAGTGTAGTTCTTGGATATGGAAATGATTCTTTTGAAGATCAAAACACATATTCAACTGGTTCTTTTCCACTATATGTAGCTGTTAGTGATTTTAATAACGATAGCCGATTAGATATCGTTGTTGTTAATAGAGACAGCACCACTATAAGCGTTTTTCTTGGATATGGCAATGGTTCTTTTGAAGATCAAAAGACATACTCAGTCGGCCCTTCTCCACACTCTGTAACTGTTGGTGATTTTAACAACGATAACCGATTAGATATTGTTGTTGTTAATTCAAACAACAACACTATAAGTGTACTACTCGGATATGGAAATGGTTCTTTCGAAGATCAAAACACATATTCAACTGGTTCTTCGCCATCTTCTGTAGCTGTCGGTGATTTCAATAGCGATAACCGATTAGATATCGTTCTCACTAATTCCGTCGACAACACTATGAGTGTACTACTCGGATATGGGGATGGTTCTTTCGAAGATCAAAACACATATTCAACTGGCTCTTTTCCGCTATCTGTAGCTGTTGGTAATTTTAATAACGATAACCAGTTGGATATTGTTGTTGCTAATTTTGGTAGTGATACCATTAGCGTACTTCTTGGATATGGAAATGGTTCTTTTGAAGATCAAAACACATATTTAACTGGTTCTTTTCCGCTATCTGTAGCTGTTGGTGATTTTAACAACGATGAACGATCGGATATTGTTGTTATTAATCATCTCAGCAACACTGTAGGTGTACTACTCGGACATGGGAATGGTTCTTTTGAAGATCGAAAGATATATTCAACTGGTTCTTTACCATCATCTGTAGCTGTTGGTGATTTTAACAATGATAACCGATTGGATGTTGTTGTGGCTAATTCAGGCAACAATACTGTAAGCGTATTTCTAGGATATCGTAATCTGGCTTTCAGAAAACAAACTGCGCTGAAAACTATCAGGGGATCACGACCGAGATCATTTACTTTTGGGGATTTCAACAACGACGGTGGAATAGATATTGCCGTTGTAAACACAGCAACAAACAGTGTTGGAGTTTTCCTTGGGTATAGCGATTATACTTTCTCGAATCAAATTACACTGCAAAGTGGTGCTTATCCTATCGCTATTTCAACGGGCAACTTCAATAACGATGCTATACTTGATCTCGTTGTTGCAAATTATAGAGATGCCTCTATTGACTTATTTCTTGGTGTAGGCAATGGCTCTTTTTCAAACCGAAGGACTTTTACGATCGAATATCAGTATCAGCTGATTGCGATTGCTATTGGTGATTTCAACAACGACCGTTTCTTAGATATTATCGTGGCTAGTAATGGTACAAACAACGCAGTAGTATTTTCTGGAGATGGGTATGGTTCATTTGTCGATGTAAACGTTTTTCATCTTGGCTATGCATCTCGTCCATTCGCTATTTACGTTGGTGATTTTAACAATGACCAGAAAATGGACTTTGCTGTTGCTGAGGAAGGCACTGACAAATTAGAAATTTTTTTACAGACTTGTTAAAACTGTAGGTTTTTGAAATAAAGCAATAATTGTTGCGGTATGTTATGTTTTTTCTAAGGTTTCCCGCACTTTTTACTTTTTTTTGGAGCGCTTAGAGAATAAAAGAGTTTTCATCCGTTTTTCCGTATAATTTGCCATCACTTTTCTCTTCAGTCTTTGAAAATTTTCTTTTCAGGATTCATAGGACATAGAGGCTCGATTCGAGTAGATAGCTTCGCTATTGTTTTGCTCCTTGTTTAGGAAACTGCCAAAACAATTTAAAAGCGAATTAATCTATCGAGTGTCCCACGAGTAGCCTTTTGATAATAATTTTGAATACCTTGAGTCTGATCTCGTCAAATCGATTGAGTCTTTTGTCAATAATAGAAAATTGTTTGAAGGCTTTCTTCAAAGGTGAGACACTGATAGAAAGTAGTTTGCATTATGAAACATTTCTTGAATTCAAAAAAATAACCTTCAATTCTTTGACATGGATGCTATTCTAAAAACCATTTTTCTTTCATTTCACTTTCTAATATAAGCATTTAATAGAAAGGCTTCGTCTTTTTTTACCCACACTTACACCCACCCTCTGTTGTTTTACCTTTTTTCTTTTATAACCTTGTAGCTCATATTTAAAAAAATAATTAGTTCAAACCTGTGTTGAAGCGAAATCTTCAAAGTTCTTGCTCGCAAGAAAATAACTTCGAACCAGCATGGAGTTTACATGTTGTGTGCATTTCTGAAAATATTACTTTTCACAGACATACTTCTCATACAAAGCACTGATGCTCATAATATTCAATGCAGAATTTTATTCTTGAACACGAAAAATAGCTAAACCATTTTGTAGCTCTCTTCGAATTTAAACAGAAGAAGTGTTACAGGTCTTCCAGATAAGTTTTTTTTTTTTGTATTTTCACTTCAAATATTTATTCTAAAACTTTGACAATTACGTTGAGAAATTCGAAGTCCTACAAAAGTCAGATTAGCTAGGTTCGGTATGATAACTACCTATATTGATACTAGAAATATATTTTTCGGGGTGTGGAGTGTGGGTGGGTGGATGTGGGTTGTGGGTGTTGGTATTCTAATCTCTCACACCCACACTCACCCACACACCCCACCCGCACCCTCAAGAAAGTTCAATAAGCCCTTGTTGTCAATAATCAAGTGTCTTCTCCAAGTGATACATGTCATCGATAAAAAATCCTTTGAACTCTAAAATGAAAAAAAAGGATTGTTGTGACATAAGACGAAGTCAATGAACTTTCAATTGGTGAATAAATAACATTCAATCAATATATGATCGTTAGATGGTGACCACTCAAGATCTAATCGATTTACTAAAATCGTTAATACTAGCATGTGCTCACCTAATCAATTTTTTTAGTAAAATCACTTACCAGCTACTTCTTTTTACTGTTAAATGTCATTTTCATATACAATAACTCGCCTAAGAAAAGGAAAAAATATTTACAGATAGATTCAATTAATTATCAATGCGATATTCATGAGTGAGTCTTTCCAAAACAAATTAAAATTAATATGCTTAATTAATAAGTGTTTTGAACGATGCATGTTTCACGAAAGAAAGGTTCTGTTGGTTAAATGTCAAAGCTTGATAGAGATATTGTCGATGACATTATTAGTAATTGAAATATGTAACTCTTCACTCACGCAATCGGTTTCATTTAAACTAGGTTTTGTTTTGTACGAGACTATGTTGATAGCATCTTAGGACTTTCTAATAACTTACATCGATGGCTTGGTGTTTTAAAGTTCGAATATAATTGAGTATTTTCTTGGACCGCCATTCTTGTCTGACTCTACACTAGAGAATTGCTTAAAATTTTAATTTTACAAAAATTCGAAAATCCATTAAAATTTCGCTGCTGATAACTTTTTCTTCTAACATTTGTACGCAGCTGTGGTTCACGTTGGTTCACTTCATGAAAAAGGTGATTTAAAATATCTTCTTGGAATCTTGTTGATACTATATGTCCATTAATCTTTACTAAATTTGTAAGAAGTTTAAAAAAAAACTAAAATAAATAAGATAAAAGTAGTTTTTTTTTCTGAAAAGACTTCATCGATCTTATTCAAAAGCAGTAAATTCTGTATTTTTATACTTTTTTACTCTCTTCAAATAAAAGACTGTGTAAACTGAAATTCTTACAAGTGGCTTTTTCTTAAAAAGTAAAACTTTTCTTATAATTTTTCAGAGAGGGGTATTCTATCATAAAAAAGATTTTTTTACAGGACTTTCATTCCTTGCAATACATTCAAATTGGGACACTAATGAAAGCAAACAATCCATCAAATGATATGACAATTTTTCTAAACTAGTTCGTTTTATGATAAATCGATTTTCAAAACGTAATAGCCATCTTCAAAGAAAAAGATGGTGTTGAATGACTCATTCTTTAATCCATGTAACTGATTGCTTCTGAATTAAGTTCTGAAAGCTAGAAAATGATCAATCATTTTTAGTATCAGTTGTTTTCGTTACGCTTGTCGATCGTCACGGTTGCCGTCAGTTCTTTATTTCAATAACCATTACTGCCGTCGAATATTACCTGCTTCACAACATCATAAACGTAACAGCTTTATTCTCTTTAACTGTTCATCTTTTCATTTTTACAAGAGCTCATAAAACAAGCAAACTTAATTGAATGTAAGCTATTGATCCGTTGAGGACAATGAGTCTTTTATGGCATTATCTTTTTAAAATAATTTTCTCTTAAGAAGAAAACGATCTCACTAGGTGAATGAAAAAAAAACATCTGTAATAAATTCTCAAATGATCTAGAAATAGCGTATAGAATTGCACAGCATGAATTCATTAGTCATGGTATCAAAGCAAATGTTATCAGATCAGAGAATATCTTTGTAAAAAAAAAAGAACTAATGAAAAAAATCGATTTAACATGTTTTGAAATAATGCATCTATAATCGTTAATAATCTTAATATTATAGCGTCTATTGAAAACTTCACTAGTTTTATTTAGTTTATTCATTGTAATTGATCAGAGTTGTATGACTTTAATACATGAAAAATGTTTTTTTTCCTATTCTCAAGATTTTTTTGAAATGACTGTATCTACATACGTGAAAATCTGTAAATACCAAACGTGGAGTGAATGGGATAAAAAAATTCATAGTCAATGTTAAGAGATTCTTTTTAAACGGAAGGAAATCTTTCTAAATACCAAAACTTCTACTTTATACAATTGAAAAAAAATCAACAACAGTTTTTTTAAGCCAATAGATGCATTTTTAAAATTCAGCTTCTCTCAAAAATATATCACATCTTTTTTCGTCGCTACACATCAGATTGCTCTTAATGGTTTTTAAATGCTAAACATCACTTTTCAAATAAGAGATACATCGCAATAGTGTTGATAGCATCTTAAAAACTGCCTACAAAGTTACCTAAATGCATATATGCATTCATGAATCGAGATCTATTGAACTATTTTTGATTAATTTATTTCATAGAATGGAATACCGACTAGAATTAAACAATTGTTCATCATCTGATATACCGAATAGTGTTCGTTGTGGCCAACTTCAACAACAGTTGAAATATTATAAATTTCATCGTGTACCAACAAAGACTGACAAAGCAGTATTCTATCTATTTTTTCGGAAGGAAGAGGAGATATATTATGCTCTCCGAGCTGCAGTATCAATAAAAATTATTTCTCTTGTTAGATATCGCCATCGAAATGCAGTTTCTCCTTCTATACGTCGTTCGGATGATATTCCACCTTCTGAACTACAATATCGTTCAGTACCACCTAAAAATATTGTTGATATGATTCGTTACAATTTTACCAAATACTATGATAGATTTGCAAATAGGGTATGACATAATCCTTTTTCTTACTTTTCATTGTAACTTGAATCATCTAGGATATTTTCAAATTGTTCGTTCGTCGAGTATCCGAGCAAATAGTTGCTCAACGATTGAAGATTCCTGAAGGTATGTTTTTCTTTTATTTTGTTGAGGAAAAACTATTTACCTGTCTTTGTTGTAGTGCACGATTGTATTTGTGAGCTTAATCACTGGTGGTGGATGAATCATGAATATGTTATTAACAACTCGCAACATGTGCAGAAATTGTTAGACATTTTCTTCAAATAATTTATTTTTAATTTATCTATGATAGCATTCATGTGTGTGCTCTGCATGTGAGCGCTTCTATCATTGTGAATTTTCTTATTGTTTTTTTTTCTGTTCAAAGAAAAGATAGCGTTCTTTCACATTATTCAATTAACATACGTCTAAATGTTAAAACGATATTCATTGACTTCAACTCACATTAGAAAAAATGGCTACCTTTTTCTTCTAATTTGGTCGCATCAAATAATTGATTCGAAATCAAAGAGAATTTAGGCATTTTCCATCATGAGCAATATATCTCACAATTTTATATATACGTAGTTCTCGTACCTCATGATGGAAACTAATTTTGGTGATATTGATTTTCTTATAGGAAAAATTAGACTCCTCAATTACAGAAGTAGACAAATATTTTCTTTCATACGTCTTTTATTGTAGTGATCAACGAAGATGAAAAGTCGTGTAAGCAAACGAGTCTTGTCAGAGTAGTACTATATATGACATGGTCTAGATCAATCAATGAGTAATTAACAACTATCTGAGCAGAATAAAGAAGGCTCTTGACTTTCAATGATTTAATTTTTTAGGACTGATATTGATGCGATAGTTGTCAAATGAAGAACTTCATTAATGAAAATAAATTTTTATCATTTACGAAATTCATGATTTTGTGAGAAAATCAATAACGAAAGAAGTTGTTCGTCATCCAATTATTAGCACAATATATACGTAATATGAACGTCCATATCTTTTATACTCTGTTCTTAATCTCATACCAAACACTTCTCTTTTCGTCTTCGTCCGAGTTAGACCATCGCAATTTTGCTTACATTCCTTTGTAAGTACTATTATCTTTCCATCGGAGTGAGGTAATTGACACACAATGGAAACTAATTATCACTACTATTCAAGTGGTGAACGAAGATACGTAGGAAATAAACGGTCTCTGATTAATAACTCATGCAATCAGCAGATAAATTTACAAGAAGCTTCCAATATGGAATCAGGTCATAATGATGATCTTGGCGTACAACGAGAATACATTGTAAGTGCATTGGCAAACGATGAATCATTGTTAAATGATTTCTTACAATTTTGTCAACAACAACAAGCACAATGTCGAATTCAAAAAACAGGACACAATGTATCACCGTACTATGAAAAGGTTTCGTCAAATAAACCAGTAATTCACAAACAACTAAATCAATCTAAAAAGATGCAATCAAGACTACAAGTACAACAAGATGCATCAACGCCAAACAAGCACAGATTAAATGATAGTGCTGAATCAGGAGGATTACCAACACCGAAACAACAACGATCAGGTAATGAACAATTTCAAGAAAATGAAATAATACTAGATGCACCAGGTGATAGTCAACAGGTGGATACAACATTAAAATGCGTGAAGCAACACAAGATTCATTTTGATCAAGTGAAACGGGCTGTTTCAAGCAATCTTCCATGTTTCTATATGTCATTTCACCCTACAAATACAGATCAAAAAGTACCATCAGCTTTTAAGGCAGCAGATCAAGTTTTTGAATATCTAAAACAAAAAAACGTACAAATTGATCGATTTAGTTTCGTAGGATGGGCAGAATCAAAGATCAAGTTGGGAGCAAATGACAAGGAAGACTATATTAATCTTATATCAACCGAAGAATGGCCTACTAGTATTATGAATATACCAATAACAATCGAAAAACCGAAGTTTATTCCCGATTGTTTTGCATTAGTCATCAGATACGTACCACGCGGTATGGATTATGAATTTGTAAAAGAAAAAGTATGACGATCAATCGCATCAATCGTAAATCTAAAGAGGATTCATTATTCATATAATCGAACAACAGATGATTATCGCTTCCACGTTAAAGACTTACAAGAGTATAATTGAGCGCTCAACATGAGACGTATATCTATTGGCAATGTTGTAATATCAATTACACGATTTTTAGAACGCAACAAATTAACGTACTGTACTCGCTGCTGGTGTTTAGGACATATGAGAAATAAATGTCTAGCTACAATGGCTCGCTGCCGAATATGTCTACAAGAAATTACTGATATTCAAAAACATAACTGCTTTCAACAACCAAGATGTGCTCAATGTGATGGTAACCACCATTCACTTAGTAGTCAATGTGAATCTATAAAAGCATATAAAATACAACTAAAAGAAGAAGTCGATAACGCACTCGCGCGTGATGTAATACAAAGATTAGAACCAACTAAACAAGTATCAATTTTCGATCTAAACGACTTTCCGCCTCTATCTCATCCCAATCGCAACAACATACCGGTCTGGGGATCAAAACAATTACCAAAGCATCAAACAACAGCTGAATATACAGAGATAACAGGTGTACTTACACCACTAACTAATCAATTGTCAATTATTACTGAAACAAATATTCGAATGGAGAAAAAGTTTGAAGAAATGGATTTGCATAGGAAACACGATGCGGAAGTCTTAGAGCTACTACAGAAGACTATGAAAAATACGCTATACTCAATACGTGAGGTAATGGAGATTATGGTGAGCCCTCTATGTGAGTTAGAGAAAATACAAGGAAAAAGAAAACATCTACCATTTACAAGTATTCTGGAAGAGTTACAAGCTGGTACAAGTAATAAATTATCGAAGCAAGTTCCCGACGTGTAAAAAGAAGGCCTAACAAGCAAAGATAGGATCTCATCAGCTGCATCAAGCAATACAATTACTCAATGAAAGTGATTTCAACTCTCAAGCCAACAGCTAAGGTTTTTTTTTCCTTTATCTCTTCACACGAAAGACGCAGAAAGAAAGACGCAATCATTATCATATTTAGATAAGCGGAACTTCACAGAAAAAGACAATGAGTTTACTTGCTGCATCTTAGATGAGTGGTACTGTACAATCACATTATCTTCAGTGTTACAGCAGTGGGAAGAGTATAACAATAAGTATCTACCGTCCGAAAAGTCTCTCTGAACATTCTATGCTATAATGTGGAAGGCTGGGGTACACGTCATTTAGAAGTAGTAGATCTAGTCTATAAAGTTGATGCTTCAATTAGTGTCTTAACAGAAGTTGGAGAATTATGGAATAAGTTTTCTATACCTAATTTTAATACTTTTCATCAACTAGGTACAAACAGAAGTGGTGGCGTGTGTGTCTCTGTAGGAAAAAATTTAAGAGCTACTCAAGTTCAAACAGAAATCGAAAATACTATAATCGTAGATGTTTTTAATCTCTCAGATCCTATTCGAATCATTGGAATATATTGGCCTCAGGGTCAAGAGCGCGACCTCGATGATTTAAATTCGTATATAACGCAAGAAACAATTATAACAGGAGATTTTAATGCGTCATTAGAAGAATGGAATAGTCCAGCGTCGGATAAACGTGGTAAAATTTTGAAAGAATGGATTGAAAAAAAATAATCTTACATACATTCCTTCTTCGTCACACTCATCAAAACGCTCCCTGAGAAATATCGATCTTAATTCCCTCAAATATTGATGGAATAAACGCCGAAACAATTTTTTTTGGTACTAATGATCATTGGCGAATTGTACTGACATGCGAAAACATAGGTTATGAAATCAGAAATTTTTTCCCTCACGTCAAGTGGCATATTTTTGAAAGAATGCTGGCGCTTCTTCAAAATTTTTGGATTAAAGAACAAATTATAACATCAGTAGATGAGTGGTATGGGTGGGTGTGGGTGTGGGTGTGGGTGTGGGTGTGAGTGTGGGTGTGGGTGTGGGTGTGAGTATGATTCAACGCAAGATACATCGTCACACCCACACCCATACTCCACACCCACACCCACACCCACACACAGCTTTGTCGACCCCTAGCCGTAAACCAGAGATGAAACTGGTCTGGATTTTTGACGACCGGTACCGGCATCGGCCTGAAAAAGTCAGACAGGACCGGACCGGTCGGTCTACCAGTGGATCGGCAACCGAGCGGTCTACCGGTAATGAATGATGTATCGATAATTGACTGTGCTGGAAAAAAGACCAGTTGAAATATGGAAAATTTGATGTCGCGTGACAAGTTTGATGTGCTAACGAGGGAACATACCGAGGTGTTCAAGCCATTTAGATCCCATCTTTTGGCGACAGATAGACCTCGATGAGGTATGAAAAACCTGAAAAGGATTCATCCCCTCGTGCCTTTGTTTCTGAGTTATGATCGTTTTACTCGATTTTTGCCCTACTGCAAGGTATTTCAAAAAAACTCAGATGACATATTTTCGATCTGAAATTTCGTCCATAGATAGGTCTCATCGACACTAGATTGTTCCAAAAGTCTCAGCCCGAATGAATAGCTTCTTTTTCAGATAATCGAATTTAAAAAATCCTATATTTTATCAATCATTCGAAAAAATACTGATTTGCCTTCGAAATTCATTATCTCGTGAAGGAAACATCCGCTCGAGGGTGAGACTTTTGGAACAATCTAGTGCTGATGAGACCTATCTATGGACGAAATTTCAGATCGAAAATATGTCATCTGAGTTTTTTCGAAATACCTTGCAGTAGGGCGAAAATCGAGAAAAACGATCATAACTCAGGAACAAAGGCACGAGGGGATGAATCCTTTTCAAGTTTTTCGTACCTCATCGAGGTCTATCTGTCGCCAAAAGATGGGGTCTAAATGGCTTGAACACCTCGGTATGTTCCCTCGTAAGTTATATCATATAGATGATACATTTGCCTAGTTTTTCGACATAGTCGGGTATTCAGTTTGATGGAGAAAAAAATTCAACTATTGTAACAATATCGATTACCGGTCTACCAATTACAGGCCGGTAACCGGTACCGGTACCATCTTTGCCGTAAATATTTATCGTAAACGGCTATCCTTTACGACCATAATTGATCAAATACGGCTAGGGATGCAACGGTGACGGTGGTCACCGGTGTGATCGGTCTACGGTTCACCGTTCACCGGTCTCACTGGTCCGCCGGTTCACCGTTCACCGGTTTCACCGGTCCACCGGTGCACCGTACCAACCGGTGAT